AGGGTCTCTTGGATAATACTGAAATCAGAGTAAACGTAAGTATACAAAGGGGTGGCATAAAAAACTCACCCTGGGTGCTACTAGCGCTAAAATTATTATTTTCAGATATATATGTAAGAATAATAATAATAATTTTACAAAAAACAATTATCAGCGCCTTCAAGAGGATCCTCCAGAAGAACTTGAATCGTCTCGTGGTAAACGTTCGCCTCAAGTAAGTGTTTATATATTTTTTTCTAAATGTAATATAACTAAAGGCAATTTCACAACAGATAATCGTTTAAATTACTTTTTGTATTCTTCCCCGTAGTATTAGGACGAAGTCATTTTTTTTAATTTAATTGCCAGTTAATTCTTATAACAAACTTTTTTATTTTTAGGGTTTCATGGACAACAACAATAACGGCGTTGTTTTTGACTTCGTGAGTATATCATTAAATTTTGCTCGCTTTTGTTGCTCGCGGGTCCCTTATGTTACTCACAGATAAATTTCCTTTCTAATAGTGAAACTATTTTCAAAATCGACCCAGTAGTTTTGGCGCGAATCAAATACATACAAAAATCCAAAAATACAAATCTTTCCTCTTTATAATATTAGTATAGAAGTATAGATATAAAAAATATATCCCAATCCCGATCCCAATAACAATAAAAACACTTAATAATAGCAAGTTACTCTATATTGTTATGCGATGTATTTTTACTGTTTTTAATGTTATGAGGAGGAATGAATTGTATGTTACAAAGAGAACGTTACTTATGAGTGTGGAAGGGTATATCGGTAGAGGTAGACCTAGAAAGAGATGGATGGATTGTGTAAAAGGTGACATGATCAAAAAGGGAGTGATGACTGAGATGACGTATGATAAAGGTATTTGGAGGACAGAAACCTGTTGCGTCAACCTTACGGGAGTAGGATAAGGAGAATTATGATGATGTGTTTTTACTGTTTTTGAGGTTTTTTAATATGCAACTTTAAGATAAAATTATTTCGATTTTCAGATTTCCGGAGGACCTGGGTTGATTAGAGTAAGATTTACTTTTTAGACGAATTTATAATTAAATCGTATAGTTTTAAATTTTAGTTCTAAAACTTTCTTTTTCAGCGTAGACGTCAAGAAGTAAGTAAAACACATTTGCATCAAATACCTTAAAACAGTGATTCTCAACCTTTTTTTTGTTGCGGCACATATTTGACGATTTCAAAATTTAGCGACACACAAAGGAAATACAAAATTTATTTACTTTCTACAACACACTGTATAAATATTTTCTGACAAAAATATGCAAAATTTGACGGTACACAAAAGTGCCACACCACAGTGGTTGAGAATCACTGCCATAGAAAGATGATTTTCCATCTACCTTTGTAACAGAGTAAAACAAATCTTTTATTTAATTTTTTTTTGTTCTCAGCCTGAAGACGTGAGTAAAAAATATATCATTAACTATATGGCGTAATGTCCAAATTGATAATTATTACAAAATATTTATCCGTTTTTATTTTTTTTTCCAGATTACATTAATTCCACCTCCGTATCCCTTCTTCTAAACCTGACATACAAAGTAAGTACCTATTTGCAGCTTAACAACGGGCGCACTTTTGACTAAACTATCGAACAACTATTGTGTGATTGTCGATTGTTTCGCAGCCAATTCTATTTAGTTGGACAACTAAAGATCGAGTAGTGTGCGCACCTCCATATAAGCTCGTAAATGGAAGCGAGCCCGCACAGTTGTGCGATTTTTTAGTCATAGGTGTACGCGATCTATCATTGCATGGGCATCACTAGTCCATATTCTAGGTTAGCCCTTCACCTTCAGCACAGCTTTTGTAGTGTCAAGTTTTGTAATTTTTAAAGCATAAAATAACTTTTATCTTTTTCAGGTCCAAGATAACGATGGAAGCGCCTCACCCTGATTGAATAATTTTTAAACTGTTAATGTTAACAAAGCAATAAATCAATATGCATATGAAAATGATGTCTTTTTGTTCAGTTTTCCTAATTTAATGTTTCAATTTATATTTAACACGTTTGCTGAGGATCAATTTTATGTAGACTTTCAGCTAGTGGGTATGAGGTCTTTTCAAGACAAAGTTGACGAACCTTGCAGTGCGTATGGGACCTTTTGAGCCGCACAAAATCGTTTCTTAAAACATCTTTAACATTATTGACAATTGTGACAGACATTGCTTGAAACTTTACCATTATTAACTTAAAGAACTTAATAAACTTGAATCCAGCTTCGCCCACGGTAATCATGCCATTGAGATATAGAATAAAGGAAAAAATTAGACACCTGTTCTGCCTTACATCGCATGAAAAGGAAGTTCTATTAGAGTCACGAGTAGTGTTCTGAATAAACAAGAAACGCATATATCGATATAAAAGCAATTTATTGATCTTTTTTTTTTTTCTTAAAACAGGGCAAACAGAAGCATTTGTCACATTGGACATTTTTTTAGTCTTTTTGCCTCGGAACTATTTAACTGTTTCCTCTCATCCGCTCCATTTGACAATTCTAACTAACACAAGCTTCTTTTTGAAACGTTTACGGCTTGGTAGATCCATAATACAAAACTAGCTAGTTTCGTACACCAATAAATCGTAAGAATGCGAGCTCCGGCTGGCCGCGGCAACGTGCTTCCATATCGATACTTTTTCTCGGCACTAAGCTAGACGGGCCCCTCACTTCACTCCGTGCTGCTGTGAGGCCTCTGTTATACTCATAAAAATGTTAACGCGGTCAGCTCCGCACCGAGTGAGAGAACGCGATTTTGACTCCCGCACCAGTAAGAAAACACGCATGTGGTATGTTCGACCTCATAATGCAGTGAACGTGTTAAATGATCAAGGCGCATATTTGGCGTCAAATATCTACAGCAAGATATTTAATGGAAAATATGCTAGACTACAATCATGCTAGAAATATTCGGAAATACTAAAAACTGTAGGGTGATTGTCGATTGTTTCGCAGCCAATTCAAATGTTTAATTGCACAATTAAAAATCGAGTACTGTAACCTCCATATAATGTCGTAAATAGCGAGACTAAACATTTGTGTGATAATTTAGTTTCAGGTGTGCTGACGATCACCGTAATTTAGTTTGCTTTATAAATTATATTTACATGGCCCTTGGAAACCCCGTTCAGTCAGCCTGAATTGTTATTATTTTGAGTGAATGTAATAAATCTTGACAAGGAATTTCTGAAGATTTTAAAAACTATTTAATTATCGAAACTTATCCATTTATAATATAATAATAGTAAGATAGACTAATTACTAAACCGTAACCAACAGGAAATTTGTCAGTTTTCTTACCCCTTTAGTCTATAGTCGTGAGCGTTTTGTGTAATTCAAACAACAGTAATTTTTAGTTTATACCGTGAAAGTGTTTGAATTATTTTTAATTTAAATTTTGCACGTCAAATTGTTTGTTACACATATAAATATATTCCGTACTGCATTTATTTCTCATTCGTGGTCGGTTTTCAAAAAGAAACCACGATGAAGTCTATTCTGTTGTTCTGTGTTCTGCTGCCTTTGATTTACGGGCAGGTTTAATTTACCACTAGCACTTTACTATCACTCTACTAGCTTTAACTAGCTTTTGCCCGTGAATACGTACGTGCCAAATTAAAAATGTTGAATAAGTAGTATGTATTCGTCCAGATTATGTTCTACATCTGTGAATTTCATCAAGATACGTTAAGCCGTTTTAGAAATACAAAAAGACGTATATCCAAACATTCGCATTAATAAAACTAGTATATAGTTTGATAAGCAGAATAACGCTTGTAGTTTAAACTGCGTAAAAATTTAGGTTATAGTGTTCAAAGTGAATTGTTGCTAATATTAATCCTCAGGGGCTACAAGAGAATCCTCCGGAAGAATTTGAATCAGTTCGGGGAAAACGATCGCCTCAAGTGAGTGTTTAAATTTTTTTCTTCCAAACAGTAAAAGTCTCCGCAGCAGAATTAGCTGCTGTACGAATGTTACGCCTCCTCAAGGCCACACAACCATAAAGGAGACTGGGATCAAGTATAATTAAAGTTTATCACTTAAAATAAATTTGAAACTTTTTAGGATTCCAATAATGGCTATGAAGTAAGTATTTCCTTTCATTTATGATATTAGTAAGACGTAATAAATGGTTTTAGTTTTTAGCAATGGCTTGTATTATTGTAGTTGTTTATATTCCTAGTGCCCAAGAAGTGCACTTTTTCTTTTTAGACTTAAGTGTGTTAAAATTGAAGTTTCAGTAAAGGAACTTTGCTAATATTAATCTCTAGGGGCTGCAAGAGGATCCTCCAGAAGAACTTGAGTCACTTCGGGTAAAACGTTCTCCTCAAGTAAGTGTTTTAACAATATTAACTTATAAGGAACGGTACACTCGCGTTTGTTCAAATTTCACGTTAAAATAAAAGCCGTTTCAGCGTCTATTATGAACTCAATTAGTCCAAATAATTAATACCATATTTCATGAGATGTCAAAAGGGCTCTGCAAATGCGGAATTGCATGCACTAGACGCTTGTCTTTTGTGTGGTTGTGGTATAGCGATCAAGCCGGCGGTTAAATTGTTATTTTTGTTTAGGGACTCGATAATACAGAGATTCGTGTCGAATTTGAAAGCGTAAGTGAACAGTTACATTGTAAAATTTTTCCACGTTTGTTAATTACTTTTATAAAAAAAAACAATAAGTTTTGTTACACTTAAAACACGGAAGCACTGCTCCTTTCATGTAATATTTTGTAAGGGGACTTGTCCGCGACTTCGTTCGCGTAGGATAAAAAAAAAATACAAAAGTAAGTAGAATGTGTGTTCTTCCAGACTATCCTCTACATCTATGCCAAGTTTCATCGAGATCCGTTCAGCAGTTTAGGCTACAAAAACTTTCGCATTTATAAAATTAATTAAGATATTATATGATTATATTTTCTATGTAGCTGGAAAGATGTCGTATTCTCTTATATTGCATTGCGCTTCCATGTTTTGATGTAAGCCAATAAATGTTTTTCGGTTTTTAGTGTGCAAAGTAAGAAGTTTGCTAATATTAATCCTTAGGCGCTACAAGAAGACCCTCCAGAAGAATTCGAATCGTATCGGGGAAAACGTTCGCCTCAAGTAAGTGCGTGTATTTGTATTGTAAAAGCCAAGAGCTTAAAAGACTAAACCGATTTTGATGATTGTTAAGACTACTACATACCCTAAGTACCCAATGAAAAGTTCGACTTTTTAGTTTAAATTGTCAGCTAAAACTGATTGTCTGTCCCTACAGAATAAAAAACTGTTTTCTACTTGTTTAGTACTTTAGTACACAATCATATAGTTACAAGAACATTTTTTTATTTAGGGACTACTGGATAATACAGAAATTCGCATAAACGTAAGTATATTATAACATTTACAAAACATGTCAACAAACGCTTTTATTACATTTGAAGTCTTTCGACTAATATCAGGTAATATTGGGTGATTTATGACATTTTCTTGTAGGCGTGGTACTTAGGTATTTCAACAAAATAGTCGTCTTGACAGTTGGTGTAGTCGTAACCTCAATATCACAATTCATATTTCCACTAAATAATTATAGATCGTAACGATATGTTTCGATTAAGATATTGAATTGACGTCCACCGAACACATGGTTGCGTACGCACTCCATTGCGACTCAAATCGAACTGACTCGAATGACAAAATGGCCGCCCTACCAGTGCTCGGTGTTCGCCATGGGCATAGAGTAAGCCTACATATTTATAGAGCGGAAGAAGTGGTATTTTCTAATAAAATGTTTGACGGAATTACGAAACATATTACGTAATGTTTAATTTTAATGTTTAAAGTAAGATTTGCTAATATTAATCCTCAGGCGCTGCAAGAGGACCCTCCAGAAGAACTTGAATCGCTTCGGGGAAAACGATCGCCGCAAGTAAGTGTGTACATTTTTATTATACGATTATGACGAATTATTTTTCCCCGGACAGTTGTATCCGCTCCGCTTTATTTAGTAACTTTAACTTGAAGTTACAACTATGTAATTTTTTTTAGGGTCTCTTGGATAATACTGAAATCAGAGTAAACGTAAGTACACAGAAGGTTGGCGTAGAAAATAATATAAAACAATAGAAAACAAATATATAAGAACAATAATAAGAATTTTACAAAAAAATTCTCAGCGCCTGCAAGAGGACCCCCCTGAAGAATTTGAATCGTCTCGTGGTAAACGTTCGCCTCAAGTAAGTGTTAATATTTTTCCAAGAATATAATATGACTGAAGGCCAAAGTACAATCACGTTCGACCGTGGTGTTCAACATTCGACAACAGACAATCGTTTAAATTTATTTTTGTATTATTCCCCGTAGTATAAGGAGAATGTAATTTTTTTTATTTAATTGCCAGTTAATTCTTATAACAAACTTTTTTATGTTTAGGGTTTTATGGACAACAATAATAACGGCGTTGTTTTTGATTTCGTGAGTATATTATTCAATGTAATGTATAAAATATGTCGCTCGCGATTCCCCGCGTGGAATTGAAAAATAATACAAAATATAGCCTATGTTACTCACAGGTAAATTACCTTTCTAATGGTGTAACAAATTTTCAAAATCGACCCAGTAGTTTTGGCGTGAATCAAATACATATAAAAATCCTAAAAAACGAATCCTTCCTTTTCATAATAATGTATTAGTATAGAAGTATAGCTATAAAACAAAGGATCCCAACAACAGTTATTATTTTGTGATGTATTTTTTACTGTTTTTGAGTTTTTTTTATATGCAACTTTTAAATAAAATTGTTTTGTTTTTCAGATTTTCGGAGGACCTGGGTTGATTAGAGTAAGACGCTTTAGACGAATTTGTAAATTATCAGATGGCAAGCCATCGTGTAGTTTTAAATAAAATAATAACACGATCATTTTTAACCAACATCAAGAAGGAAAAGGTTATTAATACGTCTATGCTTTTTTAGGTTTATTTATATTACTAATATACCTATAATATATTATGTTTCCAGGACTTATGTTAGTCATCTAGAAGTAAAAACTAATTTTAAAACTTTTTTATTACAGCGTAGAAGACAAGAAGTGAGTAACACAAATAACTTTGCAACAAATATCTTAGGACAGTGATTCTCAACCTTTTTTTTGTTGCGGCACATATTTAAGGATTTCAAAATTTCCGACACACAAAAGAAAATACAAAATTTATTTACTTACTACCACACACTGTATAAATAGATTATGACAAAAATATGCAAAATTTGATGGCACACTTTTGAATTTTGGTGGCACACAAAAGTGCCGCGGCGCAGTGGTTGAGAATCACTGCCATAGAAAGACGATTTTCTATCTACCTTTGTAAAAGAGTAAAATAAATCGTTTATTTCATTTTTTTTTGTTTTCAGCCTGGTGAGGTGAGTATCAAATATATCAACTAGATGGCGTTGTTTCCAATTTGATTATTATTACGAAGTATTCATCCGTTTTTTTTTCAGGTTACACATATCCCCCCTCCGTATGTCTTATTCTAAACCTGACATATAAAGTAAGTACCTATTTGCATCTTAAGAGCAGGCGCACTTTTGATTAAACTATCGAACAACTATTGTGTGGTTGTAGATTGTTAATTCCGTTTACTTGCACAACTAAAAATCGAGTAGTGTGCGCACCTCCATGTAAACTCGTAAATCGAAGCGAGAATACACAGTTGTGCGATTTTTTAGTCATAGTTGTACGCGCTCTATCATTCATGGGCATCACTAGTCCATGTTCTAGGTTAGCTGTTCAGTACAAATTTTGTAGTGTCAAGTTTTGTAATTTTTCATGCATAAAATAACCTATATCTTTTTCAGGTCCAAAATGATGGAAGCGCCTGACTCTGATTGACTAATTTTTAAACTGTTAATGTTTAGAAACCAATAAATTAATATGCATATGAAAATAGCGTGTTTTTTATTCAGTTTTCCTAATTTAATGCCATTTATAGAAATATTCGGGAATACTGAGAACGGGCGCAAACCTTTTACTAAACTATCGCACAACTGTAGTGCGATTGTCAATTATTTCGCAGCCAATTCAACTGTTTGGTTGCACAATTAAAAATCGAATAATGTAACCTACATATAAGCCCGTAAATAGTGGGACTAAGCAGTCGTGTGATAATTTAGTTTAAAGTGTGCTGACGTTCTAAATAAATATCAAAATTAATTTGGTTATGTCTGTCGTACTAATCGGTTTCGGCCTGGCAAGATATATAACTTTGCTTTGACCGTCTTCTTGTGAATCTTGTTGGCTGTTCATATCAATATTGTCCCAAGATCTCCAATACTTCGATTTCCAATTCTTGCATTTGCATCTTAATTTATTTTTCGTATCGTTTTTGCGCACCGGGACCCGGTATTTGTGCCAAGTGTACGGTAGCTCCCATTGTCTCGTCGCTAAAATGCTTCTTATATCCAAATCCTTTAAAACATTAAAAAAAATATTTTAGTTTGTAGTGAAAATCTTTGATTATACTTCGCAGAACTGTTTATTCGCGCATTGATTCCTATGACCTTATGTGGAGGTGCGCTTCTCGATTTTTAGTTTTGCAACTAAACAGTTGACTGCGAAGCAATCGGCAATCGTACAAAAGTTGTACAATCTGTACTTCTATGCTATTATAATAAAGCGTAAACACACACTTCTTTGTTGCCTAAGATGTCAGCAATCACAGCATATTTTTGAATAATTCTTTTTTTAATAAAAAGCCCTACACTTACGTCACGCTTTAGGCTATATATTTACGCCATTAAACTTAGGAGGTAAATATTATGGATAAAAACCGTAATGTGGGACAGAGACCATAAGTTGCTGCCAACATCAAGAAAGCAAAATTGCCATACTTAGTCATCATGTCATGTCATTTTGACATTTGAAATTGAATTTGACAAATGTAATCAATAAAACAATTTTCATAATTTCATGCGAATGAAGTCGCACGGGAACAGCTAGTAATTTAATAAAAGGTGTGCGCTAGTTCTTATTAATGGAAAAAGTGTCTTTTTACCGTTTTTCTATCCGCTTCTTCGGTAAATGTTTCTAAACCTGGTACGTTGACGAACGCCCGTCTGTTTGTTAGTTGCTGAAAATTAATGTTTCTTAAGTAAATTGTACAAAAACCAATAAGGTTACTTACTTTGAGAGCACGCACACTTTTGACTAAATTATTGCACAGTTGTTGTGCGATTGTCGATTGTTTTGCAGCCTTCAATTGTTTAGTGTCATAACTAAACCGAGTAGTGTGCGCACCTCCATATAAGGTCAATAGTCAAAGGTGCACGCGCTTTTATTTACCTTTGAAGTAATAACTGAAGCGCAGACAAACAATAACAAAAATTTAATAACCATTTCGATTAAAGCTGTAAAGAAAATGATCCATATTAATCAAATGGGTTTATTTTGTTTTTTCACTAAGAATTAAAAGGATGACCATATATTTTTGTACATGTATTTTGATAATGGAAACATACTAAAGAAAACAACACTTTTTTAGTGTAACCTAGAGTATAAAAACAATTTTTAATTATAACCATAAATCACTTTCTATTGCACGCTAATGCATCTACATATTTCCAATAGTCAAGGGCTTTTATGTTCATAGTCAGACTATAACTTACTTCCAGGATTCTGTCTAAGAATATCGCCGTCGATGGCTGGAAACTTAATGAGATAAATCACAAATCGTTCGTATAACTATGATTAATTATTGAATTTCTAATTAATTTTAATTATTAATTACACCTTTTTTAATTGGACATCTACGTTAATTAAAAATAATGTCAACTTTCGAATAAATCAGATAAGATTTATTAACGTGATAGAAAAAAGAGTTAAAAACACCCAAAGTGTAAGAATACATTTTCATGACTATTAAAAAACACTTTTTAATTGTTTTCTTTTATTTAATGAAATACTGAACAATGGTTTAGGAAGACTATAAACTTTTTATTCATGTTTATAAAGAAAACTAAAATAATCCTCCAAATAACTCTATCATACGTCATCTCAGTCACACCCTTCTTGATCATGTCACCTTTCACACAATCCATACATCTATACTATTATAATAAAGCGTAAACACACACTTCTTTGTTGCCTAAGATGACAGCAATCAGAGCATATTTTTGAATAATTATTTTTGTAATAAAAAACCCTACACTTACGCTTTAGGCTATATATTTTCACGCCATTAAACTTAGGGTTAAATATTTTGGATAAAAACTCTAATGTGGGAAAGAGACCATAAGTTGTTGCCAACATCAAGGAATCAAGGTTGCCATGGTTTGACATCATATCATGTCTTTTGGACATTTGCAATAAACACTTGACACTTGACACTTGGTGGGAGAGCCATAAACAAGAAATAGAATAGAATGGACATTTGCAATTGATGACTTGACAAATGTAAACAATAGAATGAGATTTTTATAATTTTATGCGGATGAAGTCGCATGGGAACAGCTAGTATCTACTAAAAATTAAATATATTGATTTACTTTATATAATTTTTAGCACATTATTGTTAAAAAAATAAGTATGGTTTAAATTTTATTAAATTAAAAACAGGTAATGTAATAAAATTTGTAAGGCGAAGGTCGAACAATATCAACATTGTAACAATGTAGGAATTTAATCCATTTGTAAAGGTTTGTAACGGAAAATTGTGTTCGAATTCCTTTATAAATCATACAGAAATTCATAATTTTTATATAGTTTAGTTATGTTTTTAGTTATATTATAACTTTTAAGGTACAGAAGAAAAAACATGACAGTTTGTTTGAATTAAGAATTTATTTTATAATACTTTATCCATGCCTAGCTTTTGCCCGCGACGCTGTCTGTGTGGATTAAAAAAGAAAACAAAAGTAAACAGCATATGTGTTCTTCCAAAATATTGTCTACATCTATGTCAAATTTCATCGAGATCCGTTTAGCAGTTTTAGCTACAAACTGTAACTAACATCCATCCATATAAACATTCGCATTTATAATATTAGTAAGACTTTGGGTAGACCTTTTGGGTATTGATTACAGTTTGAGTGCAGTCACTGAAATTAGCGGTGTCCCAAAATCCAAATTATATTTGTAATTGTTCTGCGCTACAAGGCAAACGCCTTTTACAAATAAATAAATAGGTACTTGAGTTCTATCTATAAGATAATATTAGCCAGTTTTGTAGACATATTTAAAAGCATCCTATTGGTTATTCCAATAACCTCTAATTTTTAAGATGGTATACCGCCAGAGTACCCGATTGTACATTTTGCGGATTTACATGTACAAAAATGTTAAATAACCCTCGTTTTTGTCGTTATTTTTTTGAAAATAGACGTTGGAATTAACTATTTTTTTAACAAATGAATTCGACATTGATACAGTTAAAGTGTTGCCTTTTTTAAGATGGAGAAATTTAAAATTCCCGTACAAATTTTTTAAATTAACCAACAAACAAACCGAAAGACTGTTACTATATTAAAATAGCATAAAATCGTGAAAATATAACAAAAGCAGTATCGATAGATTCAACGATTATTATAAACGAAGCGTCAAATTGCTTAGAAAACATATAAATAGGTTTTCTTGTGGAATTTTCTTAGAATAATTTTATTGGTGTTGCAACAATGAAGGTTTTAATTGTACTTTGCGTTCTCCTGCCTATCATATATGCGGTAATATATAATTTAAAATTAATAAATAAATATCTTATTTACTGCTTTACATAATTAAGGTGGCTTTAGATGCTCCTTACACTTAGTACGAGAAATCTGTTTAAATAGTTCAAGTAGGGCTATTCTTAACCGACTTCCCGAAAGAAGGTTATGTATTAGCCTTGTTTTTTTACTATTTTAAACAGTTTAAAAGTTCCTAGAGTATTTAAAATGGACAAAACAATTAATTTCCATCGAGTAATTTCGAGCGTCTGTGGCTCAGATGTTTAAGCCCTTGACTTGTAATCTACAGGTCTTGGGTTCGAATCCCGCTGTACCAATGTCAATTTCGATTTTTCGAATTTTCATACGTACATAATTTACCCGACGTTCTTACGATGAAGGAAACCAACACAATCTGCACATATCAGCGAAAAAATTCAAAGATATGTGTGAAGCCAACTCACGCGCACTGGGCCAGCGTGGTTGACTATGGCCTAGTCACCCTTTACTTTAGGGTAGGCTCCGAGCCCCTCGGTGGGGACGTATAGTGAGCTGGTGATGATGATGATGATGATGATGAGTAACTAATTTCATTGATATTTCCTTTTACTGTTTATTTTACTATTGTTTTTTTTTTATTTTTAAAGAGCCAAGAATGGTATGGTTCGCCCTCTGATGGTGTACAAGTAAGTTTAAAACAATTTTATCTTATTGATGTCAGCTAAAACATAAATCTACCTTTTTACTGTTCTTATCCCACTCTAAGTATCGTCGCGATGGCAAGCGCAAGCGATCCCATGGCGTCCCACACAATGGCTAGGAGGGAACAGAGGGGTTTAGTGGGTATGCCCCATTATGGGGAGAGTCCCACATAACTCTCGTGCCTGCCCCGAGGCACGAAGTACGTGTAAAGCATTCCCCTCTGGCAAAATAAGGGAGGGGATATCAGGTTTTCATAACAAACACATAGATACAAAAATAAACTCTAGGAAAACTTTTAAGAAACATGTGTTCTATTTTCAGGAAATTGCAGGAGAAATAGAGCCGTCAGCAGAAGGGGTTAATGTAATTATTTTTTTATATTTTTTGGTTTCTTATTTGTTTGCTTTTACGCTATAATCTATAGAACAGATTAAAAAACAATTACATTGTTGGGAAGCTATCCGGGTGGTGGCTATATTTATTGCTTGATTGTAAATCTGCCGCGGACAAAGCTGTGAGCAAAAGCTAGTTGTTTAAAAATTGAAGATGTAAAATTAATTATTATTTATAGGTTGTGAAACGTGAAATTAACGTAAGTAATCTATAATAAGGGACAATTCCATTTTACCTTTTAATTTGAGAAACACGTCAATATGGCGTTTTGGAAATTGTACTCGTAGTACAAAAAATCCAAATCACACACAATCTTCTTTTTCTTCTTAAAGTGCCATCTTCTTCCGAAGTTCGGCGAACATTAGGGCGACTTTCGTTCTTGACACCGCGGCTATCAAAAGTGAACGGGTGCTTCTTCCATACCACTGGCGTAGGTTTTTGAGCCAGGACGTTCACACACTACAAATAACTATTTTACTCTTGACACGAATCCATGTATGCATTGAATTGTGTTTAACATTTCAGTTTTGGAAGGTAGGAATAGTAATGGCATTCACACTTTTGACTAAACTATCGCACAACTGTTCAGTTTCGCTTTGATTCCTATGAGCTTGTGGAGGTGCGTATACTTGATTTTTAATTGTCCAACTAAACAATTGAATGTAAAACAACAGACAATCGCACAACAATTTCGCGACGGTTTATTCAAAGGTGTGCGCTCGTTTTAAATATAAAAATAATTTTTTAGCAGTTTTTAATGATTTGATTTAAAATATATTGTACTTTTATATTATTCGTAGAGTGATATACGCGTGAAGCCGAGGGTGAGCAAATTTTTAATTACGATATTGTGACAATATTTTTTTAAAATTACTTATAAAGAATTTTCTTTGAAAGGAGAAAGACATTTTCATTATAAAAGATTAACATATATTACTTTTTGTTACAGGTTGAACGTGCTGCTCCCCGTGTAAGTTATTTTTTATATTTTGTTTATTACCTTTCGCCCGCGACTCCGTCCGCGTTTTAAAAAAACAAAAGTACGTAGCCTATGTGTTCTTCCATACTCTGCTCTACATCTATGCCAAATTTCATCCAGATCCGTTCAGCCGTTTAGGCTACAAACTCTAACAAACATCCATCTAAACTTTCGCATTTATAATATTAGTAAGATTAGATTAACGAGTGGTGTCAATTAATACAATTTTAACTAAATTACATATTTTTCAATTGTTATAGGTATACACAAACGTGAGTATATGTTTTTAATTTTTTAAATATATCAAATTAGAGTATGAATATTTGAACATTAAACGCGATGAACAAATAAGTGAAACACTATTTAATGACCAAAAAATCACAAGAAAAACAAAATTACAACACCATAAAGAAATAATAACTTAAAGAGATAGATGGATTGCGTGAAAGGTGACATGAAGAAGGCAGTGATGACTGAGATGATGGATGATAGTTATTTGGAGGACGACAACCCGGTGCGCCGACACTACGGGAGTATAAGGCAGGGGAGATGATGATGACACAACATACAGACATAAAATAATCAGTTTTAACTATAATGCCTAGTTCCCTAGGCAAGTAAAATCGAAAAATAACAAAGAGAGTGTGTAATTCTAGTTATTATTTCAATTCTATTCTTACTATTACGTTGTATATGATATTAATTTGATTATTTACATTTTTAGGTGCTTTGGAAATCAGCTTTCCCTGAAGTTGATGTCGTGAGTTTTCATATTTTACATTTTTTTTATAAATAAGGGAAATTTTATAACCACCTTAACTAAAATATGTCTTTTTTACAGGACGTAGTTGATGTAGAAAACTGAATAAGGTGTTTATGATTTTTTTTTAAATCTTTACTACTAATATATTAATATTATATTAAGTCCCTTTCTCTTTACCACCCTTTTCTTATAAGGAGAGGTTGGGAAGGGGAAGTGGATTTGACAGTGGAAGAGATGCATAGGAGGGGGAAATATCCTCTTTAAGTGCGTCTCCTCCGTCGGATAAGGGTAGGCAACGCGTCTGCAATTGCGGATGTCTATGGGCAGCGGTCGCTTCGCCATCTTGGCGATTTCAGGTGGCCGCTTGCTCGTTTGCTACTTTATGTTATAAAAAAAATTATAAAGCGGAAAGATTTGTATTTTTATATATTGAAATAATTCAAAAACTACTGGGCTGATTTCAATTCTTTTACTAATAAATGGCTACGATATCACTCAATAACATATTCTATATCTTTTATTTTGAATTTCACGCGGACAAGGTCGCGAGCAATGGCTAGTTAGTTTTTATTTTGGTTCCAAACTAGACGTAAGTATTAGGGAAAAGTTATAGATAATTCTTTTAAATCGTAAGAAAACGTAAACACGTTTAATTAAATTAAAAAATGAGAAATACAATTATGTTGTTTTTAATAATAAATTTGATTTCAGGTAACTTTATGAGGAAGATACTTACCGTTTGAAGTTATCTAATAAATATATTTGAATACACAATGTTTCTTATTTCCACCTCAATTATCTATCTTACTAATATTATAAACGAGCTTTCCCGCGACTCCGTCCGCGTGGAATTAATAAAAACAAAAGTGAGTAGCCTATGTGATCTTCTAGACTCCAGACTGTCCTCTACATCAATGCCAAATTTCATCGAGATCTGCAAACTCTAACAAACATCCATCCATCCATCTAAACTTTCGCATATATAATATTAGTAAGATGTGAAAGTTTAGATGGATGGATGGATGTTTGTTAGAGTTTGTAGCCTAAACGGCTGAACGGATTTCGATGAAATTTGGCATAGATGTAGAAGGTAATCTGGAAGAACACATAGGGTATTCATTTTTGTTTTTTTTTTTAAATTTCACGCGAACGGAGTCGCGGGCGAAAGCTAATTTAATATAACTGTTACGGTAAAAGTAGTGAATTGGAAATCGTTAATTTGCGGACATAATTATCAACATTAGTAGTAAGAGTGTGCGCAAATCTTTGACTAAACTTTCGCACAAGTGTTTAGTCGCGCTTTGAACATAACTGTAACGCGATTGTTGATTGTCAAATGTTTCGTAGCCAATTCAACTGTTTAGTTGCACAACTAAAAATCGAGTAGTGTGCGCACCTCCATATAAGCTTCTAGGAATCAAAGCGAGACTGTATATGTATTGTACAATTTTCGAGTCTACTCTAGGGGAGAGGCAGAGAGATCCTCTACCTCCCTGGTGACGCTCAAGGATAGAAAACAGAAGGAGATAGACGTATTACGTAAAAAGAGTTATGGTGCAGCAGATAAGATACGAAATGAGTATATTAGAGGAAGTTTGTGAGTAGCCCCAGTGGTTGAGAAATTAAGGAGTAAAAGGTTAGAGTGGTATGGGCATGTTATGAGAAGGGATGAATCGCATGTAACAAGACGGACGTTAGTTATGAGTGTGGAGGTGTACCGGTAGAGGAAGACCTAGAAAGAGATGGATTGCGTTAAAGGTGACATGATCAAGAAGGGAGTGATGACTGAGATTACGGATGATAGAGTGCTTTGGAGGACGAAAACCCGGTGCGCCTACCCTACGGGTGTAGGATAAGGCAGGAGAGATGATGATGATGATGGTGCAGCGTATTACAGTAAAAATTAAACAAATATTTATGATTTGAATTTGAATTTATTGTTTTAAAACCATGAAAGCGTCTTGGGTCCTTCTACCTTTGTATTGGACCTGAAAATAAACAAGTATTGTGATGAAGTGTTCTGCGTACAACCAAGCCATGAAAAAGATTGAGATCTGAGAACTATTCAAATATGAGGATTTTCAAGGATGTTTTGCAATTAAAGAGTAAATATTGAACTGCACACAATCTTAGTTTATTTTTCTGTTAATATCAGGTGTTTAGATATATTTTCTGTTGTAATTTATTTATTAGATCCCGAAAAACAGTTCCTACTTTCGCAATAAGAGATATTTATTGAATGAATTATTTAAAACATAAATAAAATATACTCACGTCGAACGTTTACAATAATCCTTGTGGGACAGTAACCACTTGGCAAATGAATATGCAACCACCGGACAACAAGTAGGGATGTTTTCTCAACTTCTGAAAAAAATATTGAATAAAGATTTTGTAATGTCTTTGAAGAAGTGTTACTAATTTAAACAAAACTTGCTTGTTGTTTTGTTGTTGTTAGTTACCATCATCACATCTCCCCTGGCTTATCCTACTCCCGTAGGGTCGGTCGGATTTCGTCCTCCAAATAACTCTATCATCCGTCATCTCAGTCATCACTCCCTTCTTGATCATGTCACCTTTCACGCAATCCATCCATCTCTTTCTAGATCTACCTCTACACCTTTGTTGTCCTTGTTGTTGGACACGCATTTACAGATTAAAAGACAGAGGAGGGGACGTACAGAAAGATGATATTTATCCTACTTATGTGGAGGAGCCACCTGTCAAATGCATTACCCTTTCCCATCTTTTCCTGGTGCGGAAGTGGAAAGATATGAGGACTAAAACTAGATTTCCGGCACGCTAGAGTCTGGTCGTGGTAGCACCGGGCGAGAGTTACATTAATGAAAAATATATATGCTCTACCACGGTTAAGTTTAAAGCAAACTGTTACTTTTATAAGGAAGGTAAATAATCTTTTACTTACGGAACTAAGTAATCCATTGAGGTCCTGAAAGTATAATAAATGTAAATACAAATGAAGCAATTAAGCTAGGCAATAATAAAACATTTAATGTGTAAAATTAGAGAAGGTAAGGATAAGAGTGTATTGGCATGTTATGAGGAGGGATGAAGCGCATGTAACAATCAGAACGATAGTTATGAGTGTAACACTGGTAGTAAGCCTAAAAAGGATTGTGTGAAAGGTGACATTATCAAGAAGGAAGTGACTGAGATGACGTATGATAGAGTTATGTGGAGGAAAAAATCTGTTGCGTCAGTACGGGAGTAGGATAAGGAGATGAAGATGAGAGAAAGAGATGTATGGAAGAGTGCATATTGTGCTGACATTATGCATGGAAATGGGTAATTAATGATCATTAAAAAACTTACATCAAGTTGATTTTCCTGAAAAAGAACTTTAATTTAATATTTCATTATGAAAGCTCCTATATTTATATTTTATTTTAGGTTAATTGCAATTAAAAAAGCAATATTATACGTTTACTAGCTTTTAAAAAAACAAAAGTAAGTAGCCTATGAGTTCTTCCGTACTCTGCTCTACGTCTATGCCAAATGTCATCCAGATCCGTTCAGCGTTTAGGCTACAAACTCTAACAAACAAACATCCATCTATCTAAACTTTCACATTTTTAATATTAGTTAGATTTACATGGCAACAAAAAACTTACATCAAGTAGATTATCCTGAAAATATTTATATTATAATTTAAAATTTCACTTTAAAAGCTTTTTTCTTACATTTTCTTTCAGTTTAATTGAAAAGTATTATTACGATGTATTATTATTATTACGATTTTACTTATAATAATAAAAAACTTACATCAAGATGACTTCCCTGAAAAAGCATATTAAAACTCTAATTTAATATTTTAGTTTAAAAGGTTTTGAATTATATACAAAAGTTTTGATGACTTTTGCTTTAGAACATGTAAAATAATATTACGATCTGATTATTTTAACAAAAAGATGAAAATAGCTTTAATTTGTCCAATTAGAGACAATGAAAGAGATGTATGGAGATAGTAGTTAGTATGCTGACATTACGCAGGGAAAATTTCAATAAATGATCACTAAATAAAATTTAATTCAAGAAAAACTCACATCGCGTTGATTTAACTGAAAAATGATTAAATTCTTGTTAATTTTTTAAAGCTTTTGTATGTTCTCAAAAAGATTACATTTTGCTTCAGTTTTAGGTTAAATAAAAATCATTACAATATGTTTATTTTAACTAAAAGCTATAAAATTTGTATATTTTTGAGTACAAGCTGTGTTGACATTTTACAGAGAAAATGATTATGAATAATCATAAAAAAACTTACGCCAAGTAGATTTCCCTGTAAAAGTATTCAAAATTAAATATTTTGCTTTAAAAGTTTTTTTTTATTTATAACTATTTTAATTTAGGTTAATTAAAAAGCTATATTATGATATGTTAATTTTACTAATCATAAAAAACTTACACCAAGATGGCTTCCCTGAAAAAGTACTCGAATTTAATATTAAACATATTAACACTTTAAAAGCATTGGTATTTTTATTTTAGGTTAAATAAAAAAGCAATATCGCGATATTTTTATTTTAACGAAAAGCTAGAAGATAGTGTAAGCTTTAATTTGTCCAATTAGAGACAATAAGAGATGTATGGAGAGAGTAGTGTGTTAAAATTACACAGATAATAAATAGGTTATTAAATGAATATTAATTTAAGAAAAACTTACATCGCGTTGATTTAGCTGAAAAAGATTTTAATTATTTATATTACTTTAAAAGCTTTTGAACGTTATCAAAAATATAGATTATATTTTGTTTTAGTTTTAGGTTAAGTAAAAAGTAATATTTTAATAAGCTGCTATATCTATACTATTATAATAAAGCGTAAAGATACACTTCTTTACTGCCTAAGATGTCAACAATTACAGCATAATTTTGAAAAATTCTTTTTTTTAATAAAAAGCCCTACACTTACGTCAAGCATTATGCTATTTATTTTCACGCCATTAAACTTAGGGTGTAAATATTTTGGATAAAAACCCTAATGTGAGAAAGAGATCATAAGTTGCTGCCAACATCAAGGAAGCAAGGTTGTCATTCATGTATTTGAATTTTGACATTTGACAAATGTAAACAATAAAACAT